ATACTAAAGATATAAAAAACTGTCCATAGTACTCCTTTAGGAGTACCTCCACAACCTAAAGTTGTCTAAATACATAGCCTGTAGTTATCCACTGCAAATGAATGAACATAATGCATTTTATCAAGGAACCTGCTGTCTTGTAGTCTTAAGTCTCAAGCATAGCAGTATTGTAGTTTAGCACTTACAGGAAGATAAATGATTTGATATACTGTACATACTCTTTCTTTCAAAAAAGGGAGGAGAAAAGTTCACATTAATTGCCATATTTGAGATATTTAATATTACCCCTCTGTTTGTAGTAAACATGCTGTATATTGTGGCTATATATTAATGCAAGGGGATAATCATTTAGACAGGGTAACTAGATCTGATATTCGGTCAATAGCAACAAACTGAAAGTTATGCCCTAACAGGACTATCTCACGACTCTGTGTGAACCTACTACACACACTGAAACAAACTCTATATAGTTCTAAGAGCAGTACTGAGAATTTGCTCAATTGTAACAAACCCAAAATAAGAGCTGCTGCCCTCTAGAGGATATTGAAGCACACGACTAACTTCCCCTTATGTAGAGTAGTAAGACAATAATGTATCAAAAACCCCCAAATGTATTGTCAACTTTTAAACAACAAAATTATTCATAATCACTAATCCATAAAATAGGACTCAATTTTATATTTGAAGCACATATTTATGTATAGCCACAGTAAGTTTCTCAAATATATTGAGCATCATAAGAAATGTATCACTCGATGCAGGTCTGGTTTTAGAAACAAAATATATGTTGCAATATAAGATTGCATAAATGTCTGTGGTGTCACTTTGATTAATTGTTTATTCATGACTTGCAGTGATAAACTCTAGTAACATTGTTGTACTGTATAAATCTATACATCAACCCCTTATTTGTGAGAGGGTGGAATGGGCACAGATGATAAGGTGATTTAACCTTTTGAATGTCAAGCCTGATGAAAATCTCAAGAGACAAATACATAAAATTACCAATTTGTCCTGCGTATCTACGAAACAATGCCTTTATGCCATCAATATTGTGCACATTGAACTAAATCTAAGTTTTCATAATCAGCAATTTATAAACTGGTAAGATGTTGCAGCCAAACACAATCCATCAACAACACCATGCGATTTGGAAAAACAAAACTTCACAATGCACAGCTTCATACTGTTAATCAGAGCTGTCTTGAGAAATGAGAACATTACAGTTATACTGTGGATGCCCTACATCTAGCCTCATTTGAAATCTGTTGTGATGACCTGGGATGATATGTGGTTCAGAGACCAGAGAACAGACATATGCTTGGCTGTGGTCTATGAGAGGTGTGGAACAGAATCCTACGAGATAGCATCTGTAATTTGCTGCAAAACATAGATAGCAGATATACATACAGTATCTAGATTTCTTTCATTTGGGGTCACAAAACATTTATAGCCTCTGGGTTTCATGGATGGTAAACCCTCTATTGGCAAGTTTTGTTAATGACAAAAAATTTTAATAATAATAATAATGTTTCTTTATTAGCCCTATACAATTTCTTGCATTAGGAATTTGTTAATCAACATAAGGAGTTTACCCATACGATGCTCAAGAAAATGTATAAGTTAACAAAGATGGCAGTAAGAAAATACTGTATATAGAGCACTAACAGCACTTGAACTGACCTTTTTCTCATCATACTTGGTAGTTAATGGAAAATATATTTTAATGGAGAGATAGAGTAGTAAAGGATTACACTGAAAAGTCACCACCTATAGTGTGCAATAAGGTTCTGATACTTCTGTGTGAAGATCTTTGATCATTCACCCAGGCAGAATTGTCCTTGTGCTCCACTCTCTTTGATTTCAGTTTGTGATCTTTAGTGTTCGAACCAAAAATATTTGATTGGATTGTGGTATGGACATAGCCAAATGAGAACATTTTGTGTGCATTTTGTCGTTGTCTTGACATCTTTGTCAATTTTGATTTACTTTTTGGATCATTGTAGTGCTGAAATGTCCATTTTACGACAAAGTTTCAGATTCTTGACAGAGGAACCAGGTGGAAATACAATACTATAGTGGAAAGTGGTAGATTCAGCTTTTTCTGGGTTTTTATAGCTAGTTCCTACTTTGTTGAGATCAATGAGTATTTGCCTGCTGTATTTGAAGACTTATCTAATCTTAATCATGATAATGGATAATGGCTAAGCAGGTGTGAGCCTGGTCAGCACCTGGACCGGAGACCTCCTGGAAAAAACTAAGGTTGCTGGTGGAAGAGTTATTAGAGGGGCCAGTAGTGATGGGCTCACCAGTATAGTGATGGGGTCATTATACTGTAAAAAGACGCCATCCTTCAGATGAGACCTAGAACTGAGGTCCCTGCTCTCTGTGATCATACAAATTCCAGGTTTGTTCTCAAAGAGAGTAGGAGTGTTACCCCAGCATCCTGGCCAAATTTCCCATTTGGACTTCACCAAGAATAGCCTAGTAATAATCCTCATCTATGATGTGACTTCCCCACTGATAGTTGATGTGTGTGAGTCACATGTATAGTTCAGAAAGTTCTATTTCACTTCCAAAGAGCTGAATGTTTTTGGACATGTGTTTCCATTGGAGTTTATTTACAACAAATACTTAGATGTGTGAATATTGTGATTCTCATTGGAGTTCAGTTATCCATTCTAAACATATTCTTATTTCCCTTAATTTATGGCAGCTGCTTACTTCTCTATGAAACTATTTTTTGTGGTACAGCTTTTGTATCCAATGTGCTGTTGCATAGATGATTGTAATCATAAAAACATAAATAATCGATATGTAATCTAATGTACATACAGTTGTATGCAAAGGTTTGGACACCCCAGGTCAAATTGCAGGTTTCATAGAATCGCTTAAAAGAAATTAACACAATCTCTTCATGATACAAATTTAAACATGACGTATTTCTGCACATTTGCTATTTGAACAATTTCAGAATTAATATTTATTTGCTGCAAAAAATAAAACAGTGAATGTGTCATTTGCAGACATTTGGGCACCCAGTGAGTCAGTACTTTCTAGCACCTCCTTTGACAGAAATCACAGCTTCCAAACATTTCTTGTAGCCAACTAAAAGTCTTTCTGTTCTTGCTTTAGGATTTTTTTTCCACTCTTTCTTGCAGAACTCTTCTATCATATTCTTAGGTCTTCTTGCAGGCACTTCATGAATCTCCCCAAAGATTTTCAATAATATTCAGGAATGGGGACGGTGAAGGCCATTCCAAAACCTTAATCTTTCATTCCTGTAAGTACTTCAAGGTTAATTGTGAGGTATGTGTTGGATCATTGTCTTGCTGAAATATACAACCTCTTTTCAACTTCGACCTCTTGTTATGATGAGTTTTACAAACCCTGTGCAGGTCTCTGACAGAGTCTGAGGTGAACAAGTCCAAGAAGAGCGAGGCAGGAGAGTAGTCGAGTCCAGAGAGGAATTCTAGGCTAACAATCTGAAAAGGGCGAGACGAAAGAATGGTAGAAAGGTACCAGTTGGATAGGGGTGCAATAGGCGAGGTCCAAGAGAGCAAGGTGTTGGGGGTCGTAAGTACCAAGAGTTCAGGAGGCGGAAAGATTTCTAATACAGAGCGTAGGTTTGGAGTGAGCAGAGAATTTAAATGGTGAAGGTGCTGGCTGTGCTCATAACACTTCTTTACTGACTATGGGGCATTACCTTCTAGGATTTGTTGATATTTAGTTGAATCCATTCTTCCTTCCACCTGCACAATATCTCCTGTGCCACTGGCTGCCACACAACCCCAAAGCATAACAGATCCACCCCCATGCTTAACGGTTGGCAAGGTGTTCTTTTCTTCAAATGCTTCACCTGTTTTTCTCCAAATGTATATTTTGTAGTTCTGGCCAAAACGTTCAATTTTTGTTTCATCTGTCCACAGCACTTTATTCTAAAATGTTTCTGTCTTATCTAAGTATTGTTATGCATACTGTACTTCAGATTTAACCTTTTGTGATGAGATTGTAAGAAAGGAAGTTCCTTCTGACAGCTCATCCATGCAAATCTTTTTTATGTAAGCAACATTGTACTGTGTTCCTGTGAACCACGGCTCTGGTGTCAGCTAAACCTTTCTGCGGGTCCTTTGCAGTGATATGTGGGTTTTGCTTTGCATACTGTATCTGACCAGTTTACAAGCAACTCTATCAGACATTTTTCTGGGTATTCCAGATCTTGCCTTGACTTCAACAGTTTCCCGTAACTTCCGTTTTTTAATGATGTTTCTGACAGTGGAAATTCCATGCTGGAAGTGTTTAGATATCTGTTTTTAGATTTGTATAGCCTTCCCTTGCTTTTTAAGAATCAATTATCTTTATTTTTAAGCCCTCAGTCAGCTGCTTAGGGGAACCCATGGTTATTGAGAGTGGTAAAACATCCTGAGAGGTTAGAAGGGTCAGAGAACCAAGTCTTCACCTGGCTTAATTTAAGGCCTAATGAGTCCATCTTGTTTTGAGACATTAAAAAAAGTATTAATGAATCAACTTGAAGGGTATCCAGTCTGTTCAATTCAGCAAATAAATAGTAATTGTCACTAAAATATGCAGAAATATGCCATGTTTAAGTTTGTTCCATATATAAGTTTGGTTGTATTAACTTCCTTTATACTTAGAGATTCAGTGAAACATGCTATTTGACCAGGGATGCTCAAACGTTTGCATACAACTGTATAACCTGTACTATATATGTGAGTTTAGTTTAAGAACAAATAAATGATATAAATGTGCAATTCAGCCTTAGTGATTGTTTTTTTTTGTGTGTGTCATACAGTTTCCTTCACAATTTACGTAGGTTTAATACCTTTGAATTAAACAATAATAATTAAAAAAGAATGTATCATGTCCAATTTTGTAGAGAAAAATAACAAGCTTACATGTGCAAGTAGACGTTGAAAAGGAAACAACAGTGTACAATAACATCTGGGTAGGCTGTATGTTTTTTTCCTTTTTCCATCTAGAATCAGAAATCCATTCATCCCAGTGACGGTTTCACCAACCTAGAGCCTGCCCCAGGAACATAGGACAGAAGGCAGGATGAAGAGCACGTGGGTGACTTCAGCCAAGATGGGACACCAGTCCACCATATTGCAACAGGAAAAAGGAACAGTCAGAGATCACCCAAATCAAACCCAGCTACTCAAGATGTTATTGGAAGCTTATACTGTAGGAAAACCAATGCAGAAGCTAACCTAACCTAAGCTGAGTCAGCAGTGATAACTGCCACGTCACTACAGTATGCTGCCCTTCACTCAGCTTCTTTTTTTTCCATTTGAGGAAAACTTATCCTCTTCTTGTTTCTTTTGCAGACTTCATGCTCACATACCTTCCTGCTCTAACCTCTTAATGTATGATCAGCTCACTGCCCTCTCTTAAATCCCTGTTTGGTAGCTCAACACTAACAGTAAAATGATCCTTCATATTGTATTAAAACTAAGGATCAGTTTTAGTCCTCTCCCTTGTTTCTCATATATTTTCAGTTCAGTAAGTACTGCTATAGTACTGACACAACTTATCATCTTGATATAGTGTGTGACTCACTCTGCAGCTGATGACCAGTACATTAATTTCACAATAAGAGAAAGAACATACAGTAGTAAAACGTGAATTTCACTGTTCGGAGCTTGTAAGCTTGGGAATTTGGTAATTAGTGGAATGTTGGAAACTGGGGAAAAAGTGGATGCAGATTAAAAAAATGATTTCATATTTAATATTCCTGCTAATTTGAGTTTTAGTGTGGGATACATTGCAATGATGCTTAGTGGTAAGTATTGCAATCCTGCAGGTGGCAGTAATTACCTGTTTTTTTTAAGAAAAAATCCATGCACTGAAATGAAGGAACTGAAAAAGAGGTATGTATACTGTAACTGAGCATTCTTATATCAAAACTCCACGTAGAAAAGATGTCCTTAATATGATCTACTGTATGTATTTATTTTTATCACTGTTTTCTTGAATGTGGCGTGTTTGAAATTAATATGCAAGTGGTTTATTGATCATGCTTTTTTGCTGCAATACATTTCTTTCTTTGCTGTGCATGTCCAACCTACTCCTGATAAAAGCTGTGCTATTCCTTGATACTCCAGTCTGAGGTTTGCTTATTCTTCCAGGATTATCCCTTGGCTACAGAAGTTCAATGCTGTTACAAATTTACAATAATATACCTGCAACGCAAATACCTACATACCCAATTACAAACTATCAGCAGATAGATTCATTAAGAGTATCAAAATACTTCTAATTAGAATATATAAAACACTTTCACAACAGTCAATAAACAGAATATTTTTTATTTGATACAACAACATTAAAGGGAATTTCTGTAACGAAACCAGCATCTTAACTGTGATCATGAATCTGAGAATAATCAATTAATTGATTAAGACAATGGGTCGAGCAAACTTCTGCAATCAAGTCGACTAGAAGAGCCAGAGGGTAAGTAGGTCCTCATTATTGTGTGGTTATGACATATTGTAGCTTTACTGTGGTTAACAATGACACAAAAAGAAGGAAAAGCTACCAATGACTCGGTTTCCTTGCCTACATGCAGAATTGAGTGTGCACATTTTTTTCCACCACAAGTGTCTCAGAGCAATTCGCAGCAATCCCACATCTTAACTTACAGTTGTACTCAGATGTGCAGCCAACTATGGAGTCTGTAAATGTGGGGGGTCAAAATAGCTGTACAAGGAAAATTAAGATCACTAAATAAAGGAAAGTCATCTGGCATAAACTGCTTATCCACTTCCTTCCAGTGTGTTTTCGTTAGAAAATAGGTGCATTGTAATTTAAATATTTTACATGTATGTATTCTCATGCGAAATTGACAAGAACTGCATATCAGCAAGATTACTAGACACATTTATTTGATTTGAGAAGTCAAACACCTTTATATAGTAGATGTGAAGATGTTTTATTATTTATTTGTTGTTTAGCTAAATGCCGAAGATCCTTAGCATTAAAATGAAATCATACTTCATTAGATCCAATCACAGTTTTTGGAGGAGATGTTGCCCTTATGTACTGTAAATATTTCTAAACTTTATTTTTTTTTACTTTTGGATTTGGGGATTACTTGGTTTTTTGTTTTTTTTTTTTAATATATATATATTTGCAGTGATTTTCAAACTTTGTTGATTCATAGTTGTTTTAAAACTGAAAACGAAGACCGGCTCAGAAAGTATCTGACAACAAACCTTAACAACACAGTTTCTTGCAGTCCTTTGAGTGTCTGCAGGAATGAGAAAGTACATTTCCACTGTCTGCAGGAACTTCAGTTTGACGTAAGCATGTAATTATGTCCAATTTTCCAGATGTCAGACTACAGTTAGGCAATTTGTGTGTCAGAAGCCCAAAAGCTGCAAAGAAATATCCCCTAAGTGTATTAAGTGACAGAAAGAAAAATCTACAAAACATATCCAGTGTTTTTTTTCCAAAAACACTGCTTTATTCTACTACAAATTTGTTTTCACCATGCAATTATAACTAGCCACATTCCAAGAATCAGCATCCCTGTTTATAATCAATTCTTATAGCTGATGACACACAAGTGCAAAGATTGCATTACAATACCATTATATACTGTACATATATATCTTTTGAAATAAACACATCAACCGTTTATAACTATCAACAATGAATATATCGATTTTTTTTGTTACATCAGAGGTATGTAACTACCGTTTAAAATAAATTAAATAGTTCATAACTGAAATTAATACAAATAAAATCCCACAACCCCAATATCCCTTGGAATTAATCTAAAAAATGTAATCCTGAAATGTATTTTTTTTATCTTAACTAATTATGTAAAGACAAGTAATTAGCATATTATGCTGTACTATATTCTTCCAATGTCTTCATTATTGTAAGAACATAGCAAAGACCTTCAAATGGTTTTACTGATGTGTAATGGCCGATACACATTTTTATTTCATCGTATAGCCTTGGGAAATGGAGCAGGACAAAGCACAATGTCATGAAAATAGAGAGCACTGCTTTTTGAGAACCCTTTCAAACATTAAGTGTATAATTCCACATTGATATACTGGGATGAAACTAAACAGAGAAGGAACTAATGCTATATAAGAACATTTTTTGTCAGGTATTACCCCGAGGTTTGAATGTGACTCACCTCCCTCATTACTCGAATTTCAAAGAAGAAAAAGTACTAATAATGATGCAATGACTGAGAGGTGAGAGGTTCTTTTATGTGGAACCACTGATGTTTTATGTGTAGCATCTTCACAAGAATGCATAGTTAAAATCAAAGTAATCAGCAAACCAAGCAGAATGAAATTAATTCTCCTGTACACGCATCATATGGCTTCATGGAGAATTTCATTCAAAAGTGAAAAGTGGATCACTTGCTGGATTCTCTTTTTGTGAATGTTTCATAACACCGATGCTGGTGCAGAGTCCTTTATTGTTATTCCAGCTAAAGGCTTCAGGTACTCTACTTAATGTATCTAATTAATAGCTTGTTTGGAAATATTTAACATGCTTCATAGACCATTTACTTTTCGATGATTTAAAGACATGTTTGACCGTAGGCACAAACAATCAGCATATTAAGAAGAAGACAAAAGCATTGAATTTCACAAGTTGATTAATGAAACACAGAATGTAGAGGTCAGCTAAAAATAATGGCTTTCTGCTGTCCTTGGAGTTATGTGACTTGTCCTTAATGAATTTGATTTAAAAAAAAACACCCCTGTGAGGCATTTGCAGTTTATCGAAAGCATTTAAAAAATGTTTGCAAATAACATAAAGACAATGTGAATGGAAAGAACTAAAAGTTCAACAGACCAGAACTTAATTCCCGTAATTTATTTATCAATTTCTGCTTCTATTTCACTCATTCAAATTACTCATGGAAATAAAGCTGATTCACAAAAAAGTCTTTTAGCTCAGGTGTAATTCCATCCTTCTTGTGCTTTTATGAGTAGCTTGTGAGTCATTAAAATGTCCTGTCCATCAGAAACGGCAGGATGAACAACACATTGAGAAACTGTAACCCGGAGTATTCTAGTTCCAGATCTTTTGAGTAGTCACCGTCAAGGATATTAGTGAACATTCCTTACATATCTTTGACTGGTTAAGCACACCACAGACGCAAAGAAGAAATTCACATGAGTAGAATAATCACAAACAAGAATAATATTAAAATTGTGATGTCATAGTTAATGTATTCCGAATCCTCATATACTGTATTTACGTGATGCTACTTGTGAGGATGTCCCAATTTCCTTTTAAACATGTATGAGTCAAGCTGTCCAGTTTATTACTTTTAACATCAATTTTATAGTTTCTTAGTGTGCCACATGTGAGTTTGTTGTACTTGAAACGATTCATTTGCAGCTAAAACCCCCTAGAAGGCATTGAGAACAAATTAGGTATGATTCAAACAGCTTTCTAAGTGTCTGCATGATGTGACCCGCAAAGCTTGTGAAAGTGCTTATCTGTAATTCTTTGTTCAAAGAATGACAACTCAAAATATAAATACAAGGTTTCCTGTCTATTGAATTTTTGCTTTCAATGCCACCTTTTATGTTATAGTTACATAAGCCAATAACTAGCAGGTTGTTTACTGACCTGCAAGTTACATATTTTATTAAGGGTTGGAACATTTTTACTGTGTATTATTTTTATTTATGATAATTGATATTATCTTTGCAACTTAGTATGAAGTCTATTTTGTAGTCTTTTTTTACATAGTTTATAAGGTCTTTACCTTTACTGAGGCAAGGCAACAGAATAGAATGAGAAACTGTTAAAAGTGGCTTGTACAGAACTTTCTTTGTACTATCAATGTAGTTTAAAACCATTCTTTAAAACAGCACATTTTGAATTAGTAAAAACCATCACAAGTTTAAATTATTTGCACTGAAATATATTTCATTACATTTTAATAAACTAGAGAACTTAAAGAAGTGAGCATTTTGTAATAAAAAAACAGACTTTGCTACATGTACATGAATTATCATTCCTCTAGAAAAAAATTGTAAAACCTAAAGCATATACTTTAAAATACTCATTACAGTACCCAAAAACGGTCACATTGTGTGAAAGGAACAACATAAAAAATGTTAAACTGGATATACAACTGCCCATTACTTTTCCAACCCAGACAGAGTCAGAACATCCATCCCTGAAGCTGTCTGTCAGGGCAGCCAGGGTCAGCCACAGTTAATGTAATCCAATTCTTCCCTTTGAATGTTCAAGAGGAGCATTTCCTTCCTTCCTTTTGAATGCACGGCCTCAAGATAGACACCAAAAAACTTTCATTGCTAAATGTTTGTCACCCCATTGACTTTATTTACTATAAGGCTTGTATTATTGGGTGTGCAGTGCCTTGCAAAGGTATTCAGACCCTGGCACAGTTTTCCCGTTCTGTTGCTTTATAGAAATAACTTCCTGTCATGACACTTTGAAGTAACAATTAATAGCTTAATAGGGATGCCTCTGTGAGGCCAACTTTGAAAGTGTTATAGAGTTCTGTGTCTGAGATGAGAGAAGGACTCCATGAGTCATTCCAGGAAGAGGAAATGTATAGAACTGAAACAAATTATTGGGATCTCAAATCCCACATCGGGTTTGCAACAAAGCACCAAAGGGTTTTTGGCTAGACTAGAAAAAACAGATTTTTTTGTCTAAATATGGAACTTTACATCTGATACAAACCCAATATAGTGCATAACTCAACACTATCCCTACATTTAAGGATGGTGGTAGCAGCATTATGTTATAATGTTGCCTCTCATTAGGAGGGACTGGGAAGCTTGTCAACAGTGATGGAAACATAGATGGACCATAATACTGGCAAATCATAAAGGAAATTCTGCTTAAAACCAAACAATGATCCAAAACACCATGCCAAAACTGTACTGTAGTGGCATAAGAATTAGAAAGTTAATGTCTCTGAGTGGCCTTGAATCTTTTTGAGATTTGTGAAAAGACACAAAAACCACTGCCCCCAAGCAATTTAAGAAAGCTTTAGCAAATCTGCCAAGAAGAATGGGTAAAAATTGCACCAAGCCAATCTGCAAAGTTGGCAGAGCCTTTACCAAAAAGACTGTAG